CTTCACATATCAGATGTGTTTTGAGATAATTATACATTTAGTTTAAAGTAGGCAAGTTGTTCCCAAAATATGTATCTTAAAATGATAGATGTTTGGAAGTACTCTTGTCATTTCATGTGCATAGGAAACTATTTCCTTTTAACTCTATTTGCTTCTAAAATATCCTCTTTCTATTATGCCAATGTTTCCCATCTTTTAATTTTTTTTAAGATTGGTACTTTTTCCTTAGAATTATTATTTCTGTGACACACATAGAAAGGATTTACTGGAAATATCTGTGTCTCTTTAACCATCTAATTATTTCACACAAGTCCTGGCAATGATGAAAAATGAAAAGTGCTTTTGACATCCGTGTATGTTGAGAAGAGCCCTTTTCACTGTCTGGCATAGTGAATGAGAAAGTATTTGGCCCAGGGAATAAGCAGGAGGAAATATCCCTTACAGAGCTGATAATCCCATTTTTATTGGTTATAGTCTTATCTCATCTCCCAAAGCTACACTCAGTTGAAAATAATAAAATTGTATTTAATGATGACAACACCATTCTTAATATGTCAGCTTGCAGCAAATTACAGAGGTTGGAAGAGACAACACACTCAAATGCCACAGTCTTAAGAGCAGTAAGCGCTTCCTCTCATGGCATGAACACAATGACACTCTCTTTTCTTGCCAGTACAGAGGATCATAGACAAAGAAACAGTTTCACCAGATTGAATTAAAATTAAAACCCTGACTTAATGGCGAAATAGCAACTAAGATGATATAATTCGTAATAATGAAAGTTTCATCTCATTGCAACAGCCCTAGAATGACAGGGCAATCCTACCATGTTTGCCAGAATACTCTTTTCCCTTTAAACACACAGAACTTTATTTTAATGTAATGTTGTTATAAAACTGTTAATAATAATACACATCATATGCTATTTTCAAAATGAGATATAAAAAATATGTAATACAAATATAGAATGTTTCTAATATGTAAACGTACCATTTAATTATTAAAAAGCCACACCCTGGTGTAACCACCGTGCAGGTTAAGAAAAGTAGATTGCCAGCCACTGAGGTGCTGCTCCCCCAGTCTGCGTTCTTCCCCAGACACAACTGGCTTCCTTCTCTTCTAAAGTAACCATTATCCTCACATTTTGGTAATAATGGTCTTTTTTTCTCTACTGCTTTTTTTCCCCTCCCAACCAAGAATGCATTTCAAATCACTGTAGTTTATTTAAATCAAATTATGTACAGGTATTATTCTCTGTCTGCTTCTTTCAGTTAGCATTGTTTAATGAGATTCATTCATATTCTTGTAACTGTAATTTATTAATTTTACTTGCTGTATACTCTTATTATGTTACAGTTTATTACTACTTTCATCTATAGAATATATATTGGAGGAAACATGGTTTATTAATATTTCCAACTATCAGTGCATAGTTGGGACTACTCAGAATAATGCTGCCGTGAACGCTCTTGTGCACGTGCCCTAGTGCACCTGCATACACGCTGGTGTCCAGTTCATTTTAGAAGAGTCAAGCTCTCAACACCACGTAAAAGCGTTTACATTATGACAACTTCTCACCAAAATTTGACACTTTCTTTTGAATTGTAGCAATTTTGGAAGATATGAATAATGGTTTTAAACTACATTTCCTTGATGAGCACTTTGGTTGAATATTTCCTATAAGTCGAATAGCCAAAATCTTTCTTATAACAAGCCTTATTAATATTCTTGTCTACTTTTCAATTGGCTTTCTTGTTCTTTTTTTTTAGTTCACAATATTGTCAATTGTCTCATTTAAAAATTTTTATTTTTCTGGTTTTTTTTGATACTCATATAATTTATTTTTAAATAACAATTTTATACCTAGCAATATTGATAAATTTACAAAATAATTGTAATTATTTATTTGAGGTTTATTTTATATTTCCGATATACAAATTCACATTGTGAACTAAAAATGATGGCCTTTTTTCTATTCTATTTTTTTTTTTTTTTTTTTAGTTTTCTTTTTTTGTGGCTGGCTGGTATGGGGATCTGAGCCAAAGACCTTGGTGTTATAAGGCTGCACTGTAACCAATTAAGCTAACCAGCCACCCCCTTTGTTTCTGTTAGAAAACTAGTATTTTCAATTTCTTTTTATTTTCACAATACATTGGATAAGACTCAAATTTCCTGGTTGATTATTAGTGGTGATAGTGGTATCCCTGTATTGTTACTGATCTTAAAGTGATATTTTCAATAATTCACCATTAAATACATTGCTTTGAAGACAAAAAAAAAAAAAAAAAAAAAAAAAAAAAAAAAAAAAGAAACATACAGATATATCTTTGTCTAGGTTAAGAAGTTTTCTTCTATACCAAAATTTTAAAGACTCATTATCATAAATACATGTTGAATTTCATCAAATTTTTTTCTGCATTAATTAGAGTCTCGTTTTTATTCTTCACTCTGTTTATATTGTGAATTATACTGATTCTTTTACATATCAGTGTATCTATTTGATTAATAAATGTAGATTTTTACCTATTTAGAGACTGATTAAAACATAAATTTACTTTTTCATAATAAATATACTTGTTAGGTTTGCTGTTAAGATCATGTTGACTTCATAAATTGAATTGAGAACTGATCATTCTTAGGAAGATTTTGCAGGGTATTGGATCATTTTGCATAAAAACAATTAGTAGAAATTGAAGGAGGATTCACAAGGCCCTCAGGTTTTCTTTTTTGAAATGTTTTGAATTACAGATTAAATTGCTTTAATAATTATAGAATTATTAATTTTCAAAAATTTCTTCTTGTATCCGTCCAGATATTCTTCTAATAATTAATATATATTATTTAAATTTTAAAATTAATTCACAAAATATTATTTATAATGTCCTTTTAATATGATTATAATGTCTGTAGGATCTGATCCTGTGTATTAGTAAATTATGCCCACTGTTACCATTCATATTATTAGTCTCTATTAACAATTATTTTCGTGCTTCTTGTATATTTCTTTTCTATTTTATTAATGACTGCATCCAATACTTTCTCTTTTATTACTTTGTTTTTGGGTTTCTCTCTGTTTCTAAACTTTTTCTCACTTCCTGATTTTCAAACTTATTAAGTGTATGCATATAGTCTATAAAATTCTAAGAATATTCTGTTTTGAATCCCAGAAGTTTGATACATCATATTTCATTACCTTTTAGTTCGAGCTATTTTCTAATTTTATTTGTAATTTCTCATTTGACCTGTGGCAATATACTACTTAATTGCCAAATATGGGGCTAGTATTCTAGCTATCTGTGAATATTGCTAGAATTTAATTCTATTTAGGACATAACATGTCTTTTGAATGATAAAACTTATTTGATACCTACTTTTTGTAATAATATAATGATTATAAAAGTGTAATCGTTTATTGACATTTTCAGTGTACTTGAAAATAATTTCTACCCAATTTTTATTGAGCCAGGTGTCGTAAAAATAATAAATTAAGTACATATTTATTATTTATGTGGTTCAAAATTTCTGTGCCTTCATGGATTTTTGGCTCAGTTATACAGTAGATTGTGTTACACTGTTCTTCTTTGATTATTGATTTGGTCATATCTTGTGTAGTTGTTCTGTCAGTTTTTGTTTTACATATTTTAAAGGTATGTTATCAAATATACAAGATCTAAGCATTACTATGTCTTTTTTGTAGATTTGACACTTTATCATTGTAAAATGTTCCTCTTTATTTCTAGAAATAATTCTTGCCTTAAGTCTACATTTTCTAGTATGAGTATGTCTAGCCAGTTTATTTTTGGCCTCTGTTTTTTTGATATAAGTTTTTTCCTTTCTTTTCTTTACAAACATCTGCACTGTTATGGTATAGATGTGCCTTATAGAGACAGAATATAGGGTGGTCATTTTGTTTTTGTTTTACTTTATTTTTTAGTGCAGTGTGAAAATCATTGTTAGAACATATTTGTTTACCTGTGGTATAATTAATCCCTTATTTTGGTTATATTCTATCACCTTACTATGCACTTTCCATTTTCAGTCGGTTCTGTTTTCATCCACCTTCTGGTATTCTTTTGTATTGGTTAGTATTGTTTAATAATTATGGTTTTTTTTTCTTTTTGTTTATTTTGAAGTTTTATATTTTTTACTGAAGTGGTTACTTTCCTTTTTATACCTTTAACAGTGATTACCTTAGAGATTACAGCATTTGCTTAAATTTCTACTTTACTACTCTCTGTTACTGTGGGAAGTATATCCTCCCACATAGAGCTGTGGTGAGAAAGCAGTGAAATGCCATATGACTACATTGTCAGGAGTGTGATACTTACTATATTCGTATGTGTATTTGACCCTCATGGCAATCAAATGATGGAAAGGAAGGAGCAGCTCATCTCATATGACTTTCTTTTGGAAGTTGATCTACCTATGTTAAAGAACTGGTGGCAAAAGAGTATCAAAACCATTTGATACAGAAATAACACCAGCATAATCTATATCATCTGAGATCGGTGGTTATGATGAGGAAGTCTGTTATCCCGCCCTGTCGGCACAGGGGGATGTGGAGACCACCCTCGTGGTAATCACATAAGGCGTCTCTCCTTGACTTGCCTTCTTTACTCACTCAAATACTTTAGATTGGAAGTACATTCCTGTACAACAAAATGCCACTAATTGAGAAACTAATTGGATAGCTTATGGATTCTTTTACAAATAAATAGTTTTTACAGCAGAAACTGGTAAGGTGGGAAATAAAATTAATGTCAGATGGGGTTGCATAAACAAACCACCAAACACTTGATAAGTGCTTATGGAAACATTAGAAACTCTTGTGAGAGGTTTTTGTTCACTGATTGAAGGCGCACCTATTTCAATGCACTTTTTTGCATCAATTAATTTGAGACTTTTATAAGAGATTATGATACCATGGTATATGCAAAATACAATAAGATATCTGAAATAAAATATTTTTTCACGGTTACCTATATTCAATTTCTTTGCAGATAGTCTACATGGGCTGGTGTGAAGTACGGGAGCAGGATCCCCTTCAAGATCGCACATATTCCCCAACTTTTCTTGCCCTCAGGGGTTCCTGTCTTTACAAGTTTCTGGCACCTCCAGTAAGTGTTTTTATCCAAACTTATTGGTTTTTCCCATGTTAACAATATCAAATAGCATATTATTCATATATTTTCAAATTAAAATACAGGAAAAAATAGAAAACAGTCCAGATGTTTCTGAAATATCATGCAAAAGATATATGTTCTGGCATTAAACATTTGCTTTATAATCCTCGAAAAACCTAGAAGGCATTTCTGTTTCAATTGTGAACCTGAAAAATAATGGATCAAATCATAATGCTCTTTAAAATGGAGATTGATATTTTAAGAAAAATTTCCAAGCATATGTCACTGTATTTTGTTAATTGAATAAAAAATACAGAAATGAATTTATTAAGAGAAGAATAAAAGCAGAGTAAATGATTTTAAAAATGTATCACATATTTACCAATATGCTTATTAATCTTTTACTCTCAAAGGGACTTTTAAGGGCCCTTTTAAAATTATTCAGCACTTTTAATTTCTAGTGGCAAGTTTTCAACTTACCTTTAATTTATTATTAGCAAGTAATGATACGTAAAACTCAAAATTATAGCATCTGGGCAGTTAGTATTAAGTCTATCTCAACCTTCGCCAAACTTCTGCAGTCAAATATGTTTATCTATGTGCACAGATCTCTCTAAATCAAATCAATCATATTTTTGATGTTCTCATATTCTATATTCTAGTCATTGACATTTGTACTATATGAAGCTACCTATTTCACCTAAAGTTTTCCATTTGGAAACATGTACCTTACAGAACAGTGGATGTTCAATAAATATGTATTGAATATCAATATCAAATGCTAGACCACTAACTTTCAAGTCTGATAATATATAAGGTCTAGGAATTATCAAGCCCAACTTGCTGCTATTTTGAATGTCTATGTCTACACAAAGTTCAAAGCACCAGGAAGACAGGGAAAAAGCTTAATATTTATAACTTTTATTTAATTCCTACCGTGAATAATTTCTTATTACTGGACAGACAAATATAAATGTAAATATGTGAAACAATTTCATTGTAGTGCTTAGTGTTTTTACAACGTCTTAAGGCATCTTAGAATGTCCTAATATCATTCTTAGATGTCTTTTTAAAAATTAAAGTCAGTGTTGTGATCTCGTATTCTTCTCTGTGTTTAACTGGTGGTAAACAGAAAAAATATTGTATGTGTAAATTGCAAATACTTAGTGTTTATTTGCAGTGAATACACGTTATTTAAAATTTATAAAGACTCTGAGAAAATGGAAATTGTTGCATAAAATATAAAAATGTGTGCTGGAATAGGAAGAGAAATGGTGATAAAGCTTTGACTGTAGGAAACCAAACATTATACATAAACGTTTATGAGAATAACTTCACAATTGAGAGACTAAATAGGTACCTCTGTGAAAGTTTCAATAATTATGTACCATGCTATACAAATGAAATAAAAAGAGAAAATAAGGGCTACCTTTCCAAAACAAATGCCAGTCTTTTCTCATCTCTTAAAGGTGACCACCTGGGATTGGACCCGAGCAGAGAAAACATTCTCAGTTTATGAGATTATGTGCAAGATTCTCAAGGTATGATCAATAAGTAGTTATTATTTTAATAGGGTTTACTCAGCGAACAGTGGTTCAGGGTTCATAAGTAGCTCATAAAAACAAATGAGCCATGGATATAAAAGAAAAGGCAAGATAAAGACAAATAAAATATAAAAGAAATAAAATGTATAAAATTAAAATATATATAGAGAGCGAATGCAGAGAAAAGCATAGACACTCACATATCAGCTGAAATAACTCACAAGCAGACTCTGTGTTCCTCAGTGGGAGAGAGAACAGGGGAGCTCAGCAGGGGTCCACTGAGGAGAACTAGACAGTTCAATGGTAAATAGTGTAAATCTAGACCTCGATTGTTGCCACAGGTTTTCTGTTGTTGTTGTTTGTTTTTTTTTCCCTGAGTAAAATTCAGAAGAGAAAATTTGTGAGAGGCCTGACATTAGAACATATAAAGGCAAAAGCAGTGAAAGGTTTGTTTGTTAAATCACTTTGTCAGTTTTTGTTTTATCTTGGTGTATGACCATTTCTCTGAGTATGCAAAGGAGTATACAGTTGTCATAAATTCCAAATGGTTTCTGCAGTCTTTTTTAAGAGTTCAAATAGAAATAATCTGTGAAACCTAAAGAATAATCTACAATCAGTTTTGACTCTAGGGTTTGCAGGCATGGGAGTACCACAGCTGGATACTTAAATCCTTGCTGAAGGTTGCCTTGTTTCTGTAACCAAGAGGAACTGTGTCCCCTGTGATTTAAGTTAGTTATTTCTCTTCCAGTTAAAGACTCACTAGAGTAGAAAATGCTGGAACATTTATAATATAATGAAGTGTATCAAAAGTTTCTAAAAGCAGAGAGACAAAAATATAATCACCTCAAGAGTGTTTATAATTTTTCACCCTTACTGAGACTCTAGATTAAAGCTGAAGTTCTCTATAGTGCAAGATCTAACTGAAGTTATAGTTAATTGATTGATCATCACTGTGCATGGTTTGATTTCTATTGCAGGCCTAATGGTAGAAGAAAAACCTGAAATACTTAAGTTTATTGTTAGTAAAGAAGATTCTAGCAATTCCTAAAAGATATACCTGTATCTGAGGAAAAGGAGATTACACTCAACTCCAGTTTTTGAAATAATTAAATGGCTAATGAGATAGCTTTCTAATTGTATGTTCTTAGCAAAAGAACTAATGAAATTAGAATGAAAGAAGAAATAAATTAAACGCCTCAACAAATCAGCTTTATTTGTCCATTCCTTATCCATACACTGAGAAAACTTTCTCACAGTAATAATCCAACACTGATCTCTGTATATTTATCTAGACTTAAATTATTTCTTGACTATTCTCCAAGTAGCTACATAATCTTTATATCCTGCTCTTTAAAAAACCCAACTATTTATGCATTACAGCACAATTCAGTTTATTATGATACTTAAAATAAGGGTAATTTTACAGGATAAAATAAAAATTGTCTGGCTCCATCACCCTATACAACACTCAATATTTTATTTGTTAACATTTTTTGGCAAAGTTAAGATTATGTAATTTGTGATCTGCTTTTTCACGTACAAATATGTCTTGGGATTTTTTCTGTGTCAATTAGTATTCTTCATAAAAAACTATAACTTTTTGAAAGATTTTAACTATCCCATCATTTGGCCATATTATTTAGCTAATCCTGGAATTTTGACGTTTAGTTTCCTTCTCCAGTTTTTCTTGCTATCTGGCATATCACGGTGATCATTATTTGATTTATTACACAGAAAATTAAGTGTTTGCTATATGCCAGGTAATCTAAGCACTTGTCATATGGCTGGAAAAAAGGTGGAAAAAGTCTGCTTTCATTGAGCTTGCATTTTATTAGAGTGGCACAGAGGTTAAGTAAACAAATAGTCAAGAAAAACCATGGTGAAGAACTGATCTTTGCTCACAGACTTTTCTTTAAATTCTTTGCTCACAGATGTTTCTGCAAATATTAGGTTATTTCTTTTAATCTAAATTCTGAGTTTTGGAAATCCTGAGTGGTAAAATATTTTAATATATTCAAGATGTTAAATTCATGTGCACAAATTGCCTCCTACAGAAGCCACACCAACTTATGCTACTATCACAAATATCTGAGACTGCCTGTGTATATGCACTCTTTCAATTTGTATACGACAAATTGAAATCAAAGAGTACTTCTCCTTTCAACTTTCTACATAAAATTTATTATAAACCTTTTAGTTTTGCCATGGGAAAAATTTTACATAGACTAGTGAGGCCCGGAGGTAAATACTCCCAGACATTATATAAAATATTAATCTACTGTCAGTTATTGTACTTAAGTAAGAAAGCTCTGCTACCATTAATGAGCACAGCGCTAATGTTCTTTGCTTTGTGGCTTTACATTGGACATGCAAAATCACCCTTCGAGGACGTTGCTTTTCCAAGAGGAAAACTTCCTATAGCACAAGAACAGAGGAGTGGACATTATATTCAGTGCTGAATGGGTTATTTTTCTGCATACAGATCATGTTCTGGAGACTTTTTGTGTGTCAACTTGGTGGTTGGAGGATTATTGACTTGACAAAGAGGCCAGTCTCACACAGATAGGATGGGTGAGCAGTTCTACGGGGCATCTCTAAAACCAGCCATCACACCAACAAATCTAAAGACTAAGTTAAATATCCAGACTACGTAATGTCTAGTCTGGGACTACCAATCAGGAAGTCCTTGTCTCTTCTGATGTATTGATAATGAAGCTACACCAGTAATAACAAAAATGAACCAATACTACTTATCTGGTCTATAAAACTTACATGGATGTGCCAGGTATTGTCCTAAGTATTTTGTACATCAATTCACTTAATCTTTACAATACCTCTATGAATCAGTTATTATTATTCTCATTTTACAGGTATGGAAAAGTAGGCAAAGAAACTTTGTAAATAGCCCAAGGTATCATAGCTAGTAAACATAAGAGCCAAGCATTTGAACTTTGCAATCTGTCTCAAAAATCTTTATTCTTACACATTATACTATACTGCCTCTTTCTCTATCAGTATAAACATTGACAAGTTGAAAGGAAATGAGAACCAAAACACCAATCTGGTAGTGATGATTGTGCAAAGGTTTCAGAATAAGAGAAACTTGGCAACAAATGCCAATTTTGTTACTGAATATCTTGCAAATATGAGGGTACTTCCAAAAGTTCTTGGAAAAAATACAATTAAAATATAATATGAACCTTCCCATGAACTCTTTGAATTACCCTGTATATTAGGCACTATAAGGATCAATTTCTCGCCTGTTAAATGGAGCTACTGATGTATAGGCTTTTGTGAAGATTAGCAATCGTTAATTGATATATGAATGCATTTTTAAATTACTATTACAAATATTCATTGGGTACCTTCTATGTGCCAAGCACTCCACCAGGTATTAGAGATGAGTACAACTGGATAGGAGGGTTGAGCTCACAGAAAGCCTACCTGACTAAGGGGTTTGGGAAGGGCATTTTGGAGGAAGCCTTAAATAAGGTGACATCTGAGCAAGATGAAGCTGTGTCACAGTTTGGGTTGGAGTTCAGTGAGCGGGAGGAAGAGGGAGCATCCAGGACACAGGGAATACCACATACTCTTGCCCATGCGTGCAAACAACTGTGTTGTCTAAACAACTGAGGTGAGTTCAGTTTTGCTGCAGTTTTCTTGTGTATGAGTTTCATGCTGGTGTTTGGGTCGGGGGAAGCTGTTACAAGACAATGATAAGGCAAATGAGCAATCGGCACACTCATGACAGCCACGTGCCCCCATTGCCCAGCTAGCCAGGATAAAATAAATAACAATATTGATGGATTATAACTCAGTGAATAAAATAGGAAATCATGAATCCATCTTCATAACAACAAATAAGGGGAAAATTGATGAGAGGCAGAGTACACACGTAGTTTCAAAGCACCTCCTCACAAAGCACTTACCATAATTATAAAAGTGGACAGGTGAGGCAGTACCACCTTAACAAATTGATCAAAGTGAACATTAACAGGACAAATCAAAATCACACGTGCCTGATAGAGTAATAGTAGAATGTCACAATGGAAAGAAGAGCAGGTCTGTGCTATTGCTGCTGAAGCTGTGTAAACTAAACATAAGCAAGTGGAAACATTTGGTCTAGTGCAGGGTAACAGGAGGGAAGCACACTGCAGTCTAACCAAATCTAACGTGATTTCATCTCATCAAGTCTAGTCACAAGAAAATGTCAGACACATGCCGGAGAGACACGTTCTACAGAACAACCGGCTATTATCTTCAATACTGTCAAGTCATTAAAGTTAGGAAAAGACAAGGCACTGCTCCCACTGAAGGCTACTAAACAGGCAGGACAACCACACGCAGCAGATGATTTTGTACAGGTGGGCCATGAACGGGGTGTAAGGACTAGCAGACCGCAAGATACAATGTCACATTCCTCGTTTTGGTGTTTGTGCTCTATTTATGTAGCTGAGTGTCCTAATAATGTCCTTGTTTGCAGAAAATGCACATAAAGTGTGGGCGGGTTGCTGAGGTGTCCCATTGGCAGATATCAAATGGTTCAGGATATAAATCTTTGTACTTAATATGCCATTTTCTTTAAATCTAGTTGTTTCAAATATTATTACATTTTAGGAGTTGCTAAATAAACAATGTGCAAAACAATCAAGAAAAAACAAACCTGCCTCATGTAGAGTGTATGTAGTAAATCATGATAGAAACCCCTGAAGGCAAGCAGGCTGGTAGTGAGCATTCTGAGAAAGTGCTGATTAGAACTGCTCACATGAAGATGAAAGAAAAGGAAATCCTGTTAAAAATTAGTGGGATAGGGCCGGCCCGGTGGCACACTGCTACAGTGCGCCGCTTGGGAGCACAGCGGCCCTCCCGCCGAGGGTTCGGATCCCACATACAGACCGGTTCCCGCTCACTGGCTGAGCGAGGTGCGGGCACGGCACCGAGGGTTGC